GACGTGACATGTTCGTACGAACCCTTTGTACGAACAAAAGTAAGAGAAATTTAGGAGAAGAATACGAACATGTTCTTGCATGAGGCCCACTGTTTCTACATGTTTGGACCATGTAACACTGCATTGTGTAATAAAATCAGGCTTCAAACTGTAATAAAGCTTTAAGTGTTCATTTCTTCCTACTACTCCTTTCCAAACAGAAAAGTATTGGTAAGCTAATTATTTGGTTCTTGTTTATGTATGCACATGTTTTCTCTGTCCTACTGATTCCTTGTTTTCTTGTTTTTAAAAGTCTGTTTAAAATAAATAAAAACAAAATGTAATAAAACTGCAAAAAAACTACATTATGTAATAATTAACAAAAAAATGTAAAAGTCTTCAATGCATTTTCTCTCAGCCACAATATGTAATATCACATTTCGTAGTGATTTTTACAAAATGTGGTGGTTGCTCTGTTTAACAATGATAATGTAATAAACGATCATAAACCAGTGTTTGGGTTCATTTTAATAAATACACTTGTATTAAATGATCATGTTGCAGATACTACACATTAAAATCTTTGAAATTTTGCTGAATAAATGCCTAAATTTTCATCATTTAGTTATGTATTCATAGCCAGATTTCGTTGTATTAACCAACACAAGGCCACAGGAGCATGGTGCACATGGTGCACAATGTGACCCATGCACACCCACAGGTTTGTTTTTATGTCAATTTTATATCCTAACCCTGACCATTTACCCTATAATTAACTTCACAGGTACCTACCTGACCACAAAACTAACCTAAATTCAATTCACACCTTGGTCCTAAACCCCCGCACCCCCACCCCATTCCAAAATTAGCCCTTGGTCCCCACGAGGCTGCCTTTTTCTGGAAATTGGTCCCCACGATGAATCAAAATGTGACATCCCCCCTAAAATTAACCATTACTGGTCTATAGTTAAACCTAACCTGACCAAGAACATAATACACAACATACCTCTAAACCTAACTAGTAAAATTAACCATTACTGGTCTATAGTTAACCCTAACCTGAACCAGAACTTAACTCACACCATACCTCTAAACCTAACAAGTAAAATTAACCATTACTGGTCTATAGTTAACCCTAACCTGAACCAGAACTTAACTCACACCATACCTCTAAACCTAACTAGTAAAATTAACCATTACTGGTCTATAGTTAACCCTAACCTGAACCAGAACTTAACTCACACCATACCTCTAAACCTAACTAGTAAAATTAACCATTACTGGTCTATAGTTAACCCTAACCAGAACCAGAACTTAACTCACACCATACCTCTAAACCTAACTAGTAAAATTAACCATTACTGGTCTATAGTTAACGCTAACCTGAACCAGAACTTAACTCACACCATACCTCTAAACCTAACTAGTAAAATTAACCATTACTGGTCTATAGTTAACCCTAACCTGAACC